TCTCTCATTGGCTGCCAGGGGACTCCCTGCTTCTCAACCAGCCACCGGGGTACACTAACCAAAAAAGGTTGAAAGACCCTAGTGTAGAGGGATGCAGGGTGATGGTGATGGGCCAGTTGTGTATATGTTGTATCTGTTAACTGTTCACAGATTAGTTCCTTGGTATACTGCATAATTAAGAAACTTCTGGTAGGTCATCAGTGAAATGGTTATGCTTGTCCATACAAATACAGGTATTGGAGAAGAGAAGGACGGGTGAATGTAGGAAACCTTAGACCTCCATGTCCATTATTCGTAGGAGTGGCAGGTTTTTAAGGATTAGAAGAGGCTGTTAGATCTGTGAACAGAAGCATCTGAACGCAGTATTCTGGGAAGGTCTTTTGGGAAAGCTTAGACAGGGTGATGAAAGGCTTCCATTATATCAAAGAGGGGACATTAGCTGGATATGCCTTGGATGTTAGAAATGTTCTCAAGCCTAGCTCTCAAGGAGACTGCTTGCAAAGTGATTTGATATGAATTCTCATTAAGTATTCTCTGGTAGATCTTGTGTTGCATTCCGAAATGCTCTAAAACTGCATTTGGGAGTTATATAAAACTAGCGCTCTTAAAAATGAGGATATCACTAAGTGTCTACATAAAACTTAATATATATGTCCTTAATTGTATGGCCTTTTTTAGCAGACTAAAATGCTGCTGTTAAATATTTAAAACTTTAATTAAAATATGTTTTGGTAGGTAGTAAATTGCACATGTATCCATATTTAAAGTACGGTCTTCTCTGCTTATGTACATAGGTGTGGGAAAATCTGGTGACTTGGTTATGTAAAATAATGAATATTAAATCAAGACCTAGTACAAAATGTAGAGTAGACCCCAATATCGCCCTTTGGAGAGAACAGAAAACTGTCTTATGACAATTTTCAAATCTGATGATGTTGGTGCAACACCAGCTATTTTTTTAGGCCAGCGACTAACATATATCTAATGTAAAATGTGTGAAGATTTAATTACTTAATTATGATGATGTGTTGAACCTTTAATGTGTTTGTTTCAAGAGTAGGCTTTAATAATGCCAAAGATGCTGTATTCCCTGGAAAGCACTGACAGGTGTTCTGAGTAGTTAATTTACACTCATACGCTCATGTCTTTCACTTAGTTTTCCACATTGATTTCAAGATTTTTTTTTTTTATAAGCAAATTGTATCAAGTGCCAGCAGACTGTAACCTTGATGCAGCTCTGCACAGAGAATTTCACTTCTGGGGGTGGAGGCAAAAGTATTTCTGCTCTATTCTGGAAGGAAAAAGGTAGCTATAAATTCTAACTGGTGTCATCTGAGCAGTGTTGGGAGATACCACCTTTTGCACATGCCTCCTCTTTATGGTGGACTCTGGGTTGCAAGCAGTCTGTGCTTGATACCCTTTTTGTTTTGGATAGGCATTCAATTTTGAGGGGGGAAAGTGTAGTCCTGCCTTTTTTTTTTTTTCCAATTGTAAGATGATAGTAGCTGTGTTGTAGTTGAGTAATGTTATTTCTCTTACTGTAAGGATCAGACGTCAGGCATTTATTCTAAGTACATAGGTCACAAATTAGTAAACACAACAGAAACTAAGGAAGTTTGGTGTAACTTTATTCAAGTCCCGCACAAAGGATTTTGGAGGTTCAAGTGAAGGCGTATGTGGAATTAAGCTACTTTAGCTTGCACTGGTCTTGTTTTTCTTGCTACTATTCTCTTTTTTTCCAGACCCAAGAAGCCAAATTCTAGTCTTAGATTTGTGGGTTGAAACGGCTCTGAAAAGAGAATATGGACCTGGATGTGTAACATGAAACTAGACTCTCACACGTTAACCTTTAGGCAGGGCAGAGTTGTCTTACAGACTAGTAAATTTTGTGTTGCATAACCTTTCATGAGCAACAGCTGTCTCCCGCAGATGCTATGAAAGGACTTGCAGAGGACAGGTGTTCAAATAGAAAGAGTGATTTAAATATAAAAGATAAGCAAGAGGGGAGTAAAGGAGAGAGGACACTGCTGAAAGTGGTAAGGTGGTAAACAAAACAGTAAAACCATTGGGACTTAAGAGTTATAAAAGGTAACGGGATAAAAATTGATAGTCTGTTTAGACCAGGGTGCTCAGCCTTCAGCCCACGGACCAAATGTGGCCCGTGGGGCTCCCCACGTATTGGGAAATTTGACTGCAGGGGAACAGTGGCCAAACCCCAAGCCCCATGCAGCAGCTTGGGGTCAGGTCGCACTCCCTTCCCGCAGCTCAATGAGGCCAAGCTACTTTCCCTTCCGCCTACCCCCTGTGGCACCAGGTCAAACCCTCTTTCCCCCATCTGTGGGAGTGGGTCAAGCCCCTTCATGGGGCTGCGCCATGCTACCTTTCTCCACAGGGCTGGGTCATGATTCCCTCCACTCCCCCCCAGCCAGGTTGGAGCTGCTGCCTCCGTGTGGCTGGATGAGGCCTTGCCACAACAGCTTCATGCCAGGTACGGAGCCCCAACTAGATCCAGCCCATGGATGGCCTGGGGAATGCCTTAAGTAATGCCCATCTGGCCTGCCTGCCAAAAAAGGTTGAGCACCAGTGATTTAGACCATACACACAGTCCAGTCTGTGAATGATTTCTTGTTCTGCAATTTCATGTTGTATAGGAGTGAGATGGTCTGTTGGTAGAGAGATGTCTGCATGTTGCTTAGCCACCAAGCACATGCCTTATGAATTTGACCTCGTACATGCATGTTGCATAATTTTTTTTTCAAGAAGTTGATTCAAGCAAATGAATTCCACCTTTCATTTGCCACAAAATGGGTAAGAAAAAGTGTTTTATCCAGTTGCAGGATTTAAGGCATATTCTTGTGCTGTGAATGCATTTCCACTCTCCCCTACTCATCCCAAAGGAAAGTGTATTTACTTGCTTGAGCCTGTATTTACTTCAGTTTTTTGCAGTGTTTAAAAATCAAGAAAAATCAGTTTAAGGCTGAATTTTTGTCTCTCTAGAAGAAGATGAAACCAAGATAGATGACGTGCAGTCACTGGTATCTGGTGCTGGAGAATACGAACCAATCAGTGATGATGAACTGGATGAAATCCTGGCAGGGGACGCTGAAAAGAGGGAGGATCAACAGGAGGATGAGAAGATGCCTGGTAAAATATAGCAAAACTTTTTTCATTGGGGTGGAATGCAAAGATCTTTCTCTTTGGAATGGTGCTTTGTACGTTGATGCTACTGTAAAAATGTCAAGTTGAAACAAGGCATAAAAGCTGTTCTGACTACACAATAGAGTTCATACACTTATTAACGTAATTCTTGATTGGTTTTGTAGTGATCAGTAAAACCAAAAAAGTATTGTGTGTTTCCCAAATACAGTTGGGGACCTATATTTTGAAGCGTACTTAGTTTTTGTTCCATAGGTGCTAAAAGAGCAGGCTGCACCTTTTTTATAAACCATTGTTTCATTTACCCCATTCATTAGTTAATATTGATTGGAACTGGGTTTATTTTAAAGGAATGGAAACTTCAGAAATGCTGCGCAGGTTCCTAGATCCATCTAATTTTATGAATGGAATGCTTATCAACCTAGTATGAAAAAGCCTTTTCTACTTCCAGGATCTGACAAGGAATCTCTTGCATTTAAAAGCTTCTCTAACTTTATTCGAACTACACAGTTGATCCAATAAAATATATCACTCTTAAGAAATCCTTGCCTCACATCTTTTCTACTTCTTCTTCTAAGTCCTATGTGGGTTCATCAACCTTATTCACGTTGGCTGTAACATACCTTATACATCAGACAAACCACAGCACTCGTGCTCTTCAGTAAGCTACATATGTCTTAGAAGACAGCTGGTCTCTTGAACCTGCACCAGGGACAGAGCAGAGTAGCAGCTTAAGTTAATGTGGGCACCAACTAAGTAAATCTTGTTAATTCATATTGGTTATACCAGGTTCTTAGTTTTAAGAGGTTATGTAAGCCATAGTAAGTTTGTTTTTTATACCTTTGAAAGTTTGTTTCCAGATCAGCAGAACCAAAGAGGTTTCACACAGAGTAATATTAAAAATAGAAACTGGCTTTTCTTTTAAATGCATACAAATTTGATTGGAACCTCCTGATTCAGTTTTTCATTGGTCTAAATGCTCTAAAATGTCAGAATCCACCTCTGGAAAGGGTTTCAGATGAATGTAACCAGCTGTATGTCTAATAAGGGCTGATGATGCAAGAGCTCAACTTTCTGTTTGAATGTCTTTACAGATCCTGTGGATGTAATAGATGTGGATTGGTCAAGTCTTATGCCAAAGCAGCTGAAAGAACCACGGGAGCCTGGCGCTGCACTCTTAAAATTCACACCAGGTGCTGTGATGTTGAGAGTTGGCATTTCAAAACGATTGGCAGGCCCTGAACTCTTCACCAAAATTAAAGAAACCTGCCAGAGAGCATTAGAAAAACCTAAAGGTAATTGTTTTGAGGAATAAAACGTCTAATTAGGATTGGTAAGATGTCTGAAAATAACAAACAAGTTGCTCTTCTACATAATACCCTCATTAAAGATTGAACTTAAGAGGAACAAAATGTGAACAGGTGAAACAGCTTTTGTTTACCCACATACCCACACAATCCCTTTCCCCTGAAAATTAGCTCTCCAAAATTGGGATGTGTATCTTGGAAGAGCAAACTGATTTCCACTCTGGATTGGCGTCCTGCGGATGTGGTCCTCCTTCGTCATGCAGGAGGGACAGAGGCCGCTCATCAGCGTCACTCACCCGCTCACTGCTACCCCACAGCTGGAGTTTTAACCTTCTCACATTTGGGAAGGGGTCGGGGTGTGGCACTTCTCCTGAAAGAGGGTGCGGTGCAGGCATGGCACCTAAGTGCAGTTTGCTATAGTGTGGTTCTGTAATGTAGATTGGGCTCTGCTTATTTTTCCTCTAATCTATCAGAAGGAAGTGAGCTGCTTAGCACAACCTGTAAGAATGTCTGTGACATCACATTTAAGGCAGAAGGCAGGGTAGATTTGCACTTTATAAGCTAACTAAATCAGAGAGACATAGCATAGGCTTTTGCCAGCCTGAGTTTATTTTTGTGCCTTGGGCTTACAAAAGTTTATGCTGTACATTTCTGATTTAGTTAGAATGTAAAATGCAAATCTACTTTGCCTCCTCGTTGACTTCAGTCTAACACAGCTAACTGCCTCTGTCTCTGAAATGTAAGACCACATATATGGTTATAGCTTTCTTTTAATATTTGAAGATGAGAAAATTATGAGTGCAAATAAAACAGAGAATATTAGGGATAACACATTTTTCTGAATTCTTTATTCTTCTGCAATTTCGAACCCTTCATTTATATAAAAAAAAAAAATAAAAAAAAATCAGTTTGGATTCTTCACAGTGTAAATCAATGTGCTTCTGCCTTGTTAACTTATCTTTCTCAGAAAACTTGCTGTCAGACAATAGAGAAGAATAGGAAAAGGAACTTGTTCCTTCCAGTCCCATTAATCTCTGAGAATGTCATTGCTTACATGAGCCATATACCCATATTAATCATGGGCTGTTTCCATTGCTTCTGCTTTTTAGCCAAGGAAATTAAATGCAAAAACTTTTAATACAACATTAAGAGTATACCTTGAGAAGCACCCTCCATTCACTTGTCATTGGCCAATGGCAGTTTTTATTTTATTGTGTGGGTTAGGAGTTCTTTAAAGGGAAAAAAAAAGTTTCCAGCTCATGTGCCTGTGAACGTGATTTTTTTTTTTTAATGCAAGTTGATAAAATAGGGCGTCTTTTTGACTTTGCAAACAGTCTGAAATGGTAAGGAGAGTGGACAAACCTGAATGTGTTTGGCTTGGGGTTTTTATCAGTGCTCCTGTTAAATAGTTAATCTGGATTTTGAGTGACTCCTTACCGCAAAAGTTGGAATGTAGAATGAGGCTTGAAATAGTGTGCTCTGACTTCCTCTGGGGCTAGGGAGATGGCTAGAGAATTAATGTTAGTAGGAATAAGATCCTCCAGCACTGCACCCATTATTCTGTGGGTACAATCTTGCTCAATACAGCCTTATAGAACAAGGGGGAGGCATTTGGCCCATGCGGCATTGACTGTCTCCTTTAATTTTAATAGGGTGCAGACCAGTGATTCTCAACAAGAGTGCTGGAGTGTTAGCACTGTTAGGCATGCAAACAGGATTCACAAGATAAACCCAGAGATTTCAAATAGGAATCCATAGCGTTAAAAACATTGTGACCTGTTGTGGTCTTTCCGAGTTCTTTGCAACAGAAGAATTGCCCTGTTACTTTTCCACAATCAAAAAACAAATGAAAGCTACGAGGTGGCTGAAGGGCTTCCTTCAGTCTAGCAAGGTTTCAGAACCACTGATGCAGACACTCTTTATATAGATAGGTAGTAAGTTTAAAACTAAGAAAAGGAAGTTTCTTCACACAGCATGCAAGTACAGTGTGGCTTTTGTTGCCACTAGGGGCACAGACAGAAGTGCAGCTTCCCTCTGTAATGAGAACACTTTGTAGGAAGCGTTCTGAGTTACAACAACCCCTGGACCAAACAGAAGTTCACTACTGGTTCTGGAGGGGTGGGGAATCTAGCTACTGGCAGTTTCTTCTACCAACAGCCCCTCCTCCCTGCCAGCCTGTCCTGTTTTCAGAATGGGAGGGCAGAAAGGGAGCAGGGGGAGCTCATTCTAGGGGTTCCCCAGCCAGCACTAGAGGGTGGGGTGGGTGAATCAGAGCCTCCGTACCTTGCTCCACTACACCCACCCCACCCTCCAGCAGGGGCTGACCCCTCCACCCATGACCAAATTCCCTCTGCTCCCTTCCCCCCGCTCCCATTCTGAAAACAGCTGAAGGCTGGGAGGCAGTGCAGACACAATTTGCAAAAGATGCTCGGTTTTGAAACATCTTTATCTGATCCCTCATGCAATGAGGGTTTAGCTTTTTGCCCAATCAGCCATTTTTGAAGTAGGCTGCACCAGTGTTTGGTCATAGCTATGGACTGCTTTCCATGGCAAAAATTGTCACTTCTGTCTGCACCCAAGATGTTGTGGAAGCTGACAGTTTAGCCAGATTCAAAGAGAGATTGGACAGATTTTTGGAGGAAAAGGGTGTCAGTAGCTATTGAGCATGCAGCCCCTGAATCGGAACTTCCTAGAACTTAAATGCTGGAGGCTGCCGGTGAGAGGAACAGTAAAAAATCCCCTGGTCATACCTAGTTTACTCTTCCTTTTAGCATCCACACTCTGCCCCTGTGTAACACAGGATACTGGGCAAGGTGCACCTATGTTCTGACTCGATAAATGGCAGATCTTATGCTCTTTATACCATGTACTTCAAACTTTCAAGAAACTTAAGCCCAGCATGCAGCTGCTCTGTGTAAGATTCCTTTTTTGGCCAGTGCCTGCCTAAATGAAAATCCCATTGTAGCAGTCATTCAGCCATTATACATGTATTCTAGGTTGAGGCATAAATTTTTAATTGACTAAAAAGGAATAGGAAATGAGTTAGATATACCTGTGAGTTGATATTGCAATTGGGGATGTAATATTTTCACTTCTCAACTTCTGCATGCTAATATTTGTAAGTGCTGATGCTGCCTTCACTTAGTTATTACATTTCATTATAAATTCCCCCCAGAAAAAGATGCTTACACATTCTTATGTTGGCTCTCTTGCTTCTATTAGTGGGTTCATATGCAGAACACAGAAAATAAGTTTGCTTTTGACAGTCATACTAGTATTTATTTTCTGTAGAACCAAAACTCTGTAGCATGTGATGAACTGAAATATATAGATGTTTCATCTGCCTCTACTATTTACTGCCATTTCCTCATAGGAACCAGGCACTCAGCTGCAAAACATGCTTAGCATCTGGCACCTTGGCAGACTCCACAGGCTGTTAGTGTTAGCTTTTGAACTTGCTTTTTGTGTCTGCCACTCCCTTGGGTTGCTGACTGGCCATCTGGGTTGTCTTGGCAACATCTATACTATTTTCTTTGACCCATCCTTGATACTGAGTAATCTTCCACTTTTCTTTCACCTTGTCTGAAAAATGGCCTTGTCAGCTTGGTTAAAAGATCACTCTTGAAGTGAATTAAGTGTTTCCATATTCCTGTATGTAGTCTCAGTGCATTAGTCTCCACTTTGACTTACTCTATTTATTTTGGGTCTTTTGGTTGTACGGTACTAGGGTTGAGCAAAATACAGGCTTGATACAGCCCTCTGGGGGCACCTGTCAGTTGAATGGATCCGGCCCGCAGCTGTCCCTCAGCACTTCGCATGGGGCCAACCCTGCCCGAGGCAGCCTGAGCTGTGCCCCTGCCTAAACCTGCTGGCCCTCGCCCAGCCAGCATGCACAGCTTCCTAGTGGGGCTGCTCCTGGCACAGCTTAGCTTCCCCTGCCTCCAGCAGCTCCTCCTCCTCTGTGCATGCTGCCTGGGCCGAGGTAGGCAGGTGGAGTTGGGTGGAAGGTAACTGGAAGCTGGAGCTGGAGCCTCATGCACTAGAGCGGGAGCTGCCTGGCTCTGGCCTGCAAAAGACTGGAGGAATATTGAGAGTCTGGATCCTTGCTTCTCAGGGTCCCTTTTGAAAAGCAGTGGCCATATAGCTGACATATTTGTTTTGTGGCTACTGTGCTGCAGCTGACTGTGACTAGTTGTATTGACAGACCTTTGTTTCCATTTCGAGTAGCATTCACAGATGCTGTTATTTTGGGCCATGTAGGAGGAATGTGCTGGTTAGAATGTCTGTTTCCTAACTTGTCCTCCACCCCTGACTACCCTTGTCCTTCCATCTGCATTGCCTTTCTGCAGTGGCAGGGAAGTGGCAACCACACGTGCAGGGAGAGGAAGAGTATTCTGTCTTTGTATTTTGCCTCTGAGTAACCAGATGTAGCCGAATTTCCCGTTTTTGTCACATAGACACAACCTATGTTGCCTTTTTCTATTTTGTTAAATTAACGGTGATTGGAGAGTATTACTTCTACACACCCGCTTACCTGATGATAAACGGTTTGGTCTTCCATTCCAGACTTGTGTCCAAGTATTTAGTCCTCAGTTATGACCACCATCCTAGCATTTCCTTGCAGTGCTGAAGAACAAAACACACTCATTCCTATACTGCCTTCTCTGTGACCAAGAGTTATCTTTGTCAGTTTCCTCCAATACCAAGTTTGATATATAGGGCTTGTTTTGGGGAAAAGCCTTTGAAATGGCATATTGGTTTTAAAAGGCTAATGAGAGAATTTCCAAATCTGGTGCAGGACAGTTCTTAACTTTAATTCTTTGGGGAGGCAATGCATGTATTTCATGACTTGCAAAGTATTTTGGATGTGCTGATCTCTGCAATTATTTGTTTATTTTATGTTTTGTAGATACAGAAAATCTTTTTGAACATGAACTTGGGGCCTTGAATATGGCTGCACTAGTACGGAAAGAAGAAAGAGCAGGTCTTCTTAGTAACCTTGGTCCTTGCTGTAAAGCACTGTGCTTTAGAAGAGATTCTGCAATTCGCAGGCAGCTTGTGAAGAATGAAAAGGCAAGTGCACTGTTTACACAGAATATTTAAAACATGGCAACATATATTCTTTACTTCAAAATATTTCTGCAGTTAGATCAAGCTGTTTTCTGATACAGCATTTGCTGTTGCCAGTCTATTCATTTACATTCACTCTACCTTCTAAATAATTGAGACTAGACTTGCATTAAGAGATTGTTTGTTTGTTTTTTATTTTACTGGAGCCTAAGATTAATTGAAATTTGTGACCAGGCCGCTAATGGTAGGTTTGATTTAAATTCTGGGAGCACGTTTATACAGATTAGAAATTGTATAATTAAAATCATTTTTTAAAAATGTAATTTTAAGGATGGTTAACTGAATGATCTTTGATGTTTTAGGATTCTATGATCTTTTGCACAAATAGTTTTTTAAAGTATCATTTTCAAGCCTAACGAAGTTTACTAAACATTTGTTCCTGTAAACTTTTTTGAGCTGTTGCACCAAGCTTAGGCTTCCTTGTGTGCTAATATAGCAAAATTACTACAAGAATTAGTGTTAGAAGGAACCATGTTTAAGAATGTGTACTTATACTTCTTAATTTATTGAGGATATTTGAGTTTTAGCATCTCAGTCTACTTGTCAAAAGCAACTAATTTTTAATTCTTTTTTTAATCCAAGCAGGGTACAACAAAGCAAACCTACACAAATCCTCCAGTGATGGACAGTGACTTGTTAAGGTTGAGTCTACGGTTATTTAAACGCAAGACTGTGTGCCAAGGTCCAGGGCAAGAAAAAACAGAAGAGAGTAAACTTCCACAACCAAATATCCAGCAAGAAGTATGTGTGTCTTAAGCCTGTGACCATAGTGGCATTCTCTCTGATTGATCTCCCACCAGTAATTCTGCTCTTGATATTGGGAACCTTTTGGTTTAGGAAGAAGCTGTAAAAGATGGAGGAAAAGACTCTTCTTACACATTCTTATGTGTCTGGGAATAAATAATTAGCAGTAAAAGTACAAAGACCTCTGTTTGTAGTTCACTGCAAATTTTATATCATTGAAACCTTACACTGTAACATAAATCAATTTTATGGTGCAACAAGTGTAATAATGTGATGATGTCTGGTTTTAGCAGTCTATTACATTGCCTGATATTAAACTAAAGAAAACTGTTTTTGTATCTTCCCTGTATTCTGAAAAATATTTGTTCATGGACCATTAATTTATATAATGTTATAAACATACTGATTTCACTTGAAAATTATCAACATCAACTCTGAAATGTTGCTAGCCAACTCTGTAAAATGTCAGCGCAAAGTATTTTTAGAATCCTTTCTTAGTACACAGGCATCCAGTTCTATTACAAAAAGGCAAAACGATTTTTACAACATAACTCTTAGAATGCTTTTTAGAGAATCGTTTTTTTAAAGAACATGAGTATCTTTGTCAGCTTGTAAATATAAATCCCATATGCCTGTATCAGATGCAGGTTGCATTAGGAGCTTTACCACTTTGTTTCTGTTTGTTAAGTTTAACTATGTCCTATGCAAAACTTTATGCCTCTTTTACTTGAGCACTTTTTGAACAAACTTAGTGGCTAGTATTATTTTCATTTTTCCCATGTATTTGATAGTCAATTACACACTCTAAATTTTTTTTATATTTAATGACATCTCAGTAGTTTAAACTAAGCAAGAGCTAACAAACCTATTCTATCTAGGCTTTTAAAATGCTCTGGCTTATTTTATAGGCTTTAAGCTGAAAGTATTAGATCATAGCTTCCAATTACGTTAAAGTCTGGTTTAATCTCCTTCCCCAAAATGCATAAAAATGTTTGATTGTTGAAAACAGCCTTGTCTAAGACTGCAGTATACAAAATAGATGTGCTGTGTTTTGTTATTCAATTACAGTGAACTTTCTTGAAACATTTTCACTGCAAAACAGTCAAGCTCCATATACACACTTAATTTAGGAGAATATTTTCAGATCCTTCTGTGAAAATGCAAAACAGAAGAAATTTGAATGACAAAGTAAGCTGTTGCCTATGAAATTTACATTTCTGAAGGAGTTAGTTTAGTCTGTTAGCGTACCTTTCTTTCTGCCTGACTTAAGACTAATGCAGTTAACTGCCTGTCTCCAATCAAGGGCCAAATTCCAAAGTTGACTCTTACCCTCACTAAATAGTACTGCATGATATTTGGCTCTTATGCCCTAGTTTGCTCTATTCTTTTCAAGGTAATAACAGAGATCAAAGTGGCAGTGTGTGTGGTGTGTTCTGGTGCACTGTATGAAACCTGGCTGTTCTGGGAGTAGCAGGTAGGGACTAAAAATAGTTCTTTGCACTGTGAGTCAGCCAACAGCATAGTCACTGCAACACAAGTGTGCCGTGGGGATGGCAACCTGAGGAAATGTTATGATCTTCGAGGAGGTAAGAATTGCCAGCTTAAAACAGACCAGTAGTCTTTTTGCAGGTATTTGAGAACAGCCAGAGCAGAATATTACTTTATGAAACTCCATCGTGTGCTTAGCTAATTGTTCAGTATTACAGGAGAATTTCACTTCTGTCCACTCATCTGGCAAGGATGCAACTCAGTGATTCCCAACCTTTTTAGACTGCGAAGCAACAAACCACAGACTGGAAGTGACCAGCATACTGTGGACCAGCAGCCAACCGTATTTTATACTCAGTAGCCCACAGTATGCTGGTCACTTCCAGATTTCCGGTCCTGCAGCCCAACCATTCACGGCCCAGAAGTTGGGAACATCTGATGTAACTTGTATGACATAATATATTGGTTTTGGTAATTAATGTCTTGATACGGCATTTCTCTAGCTAGATTTCCCCAACTTCTTTCAATGACAATGCATCGCTTTTTCAGTAGGGTATGTACTTATTGTACAGTGCTTGCATTCTATTCTAGAACAGTATAGTTTACCTTGTTGCTGTTTGTCCAAAGCATGCTAGGAAGTTTTTTTTTTTTTGTATATATAAAACTGGGTCTAGTTGAGGCTTGTTGAGGATGACACTATTTTACATCACATAGACATCTCATATATATGTAAATAGACATATATATAAGATGTCTATTTGATGTAAAATAGTGTCTTCCTCAACAAGCCTCAACTAGACCCAGTTCACCTTATCTACATCACACCTTTGCAGCCCCTATCAAAGTGATCCATATTGCACTGCTTAGTGCTGCACTAAAGAAATAAATCGTATCCCAGGTTCCCTTGCACTATGTGAAGAGGAGCCCTTCTAGGAATCAGTCAGAAGATTACTTGTCTCCTGGGCATGTTATGGATACCTTTAGATTCCTGGACCCTTGTCAGTCCAGCTCGCTTGCTGGACAGAGACTGTACTCATGGCCCTGGTCAATGATTTTACCTGGAGATTGGCAAGGAAGTCTCAGAGGCTGGTGATGGGCAAGTGCTCATCATTCCCTTTTCTGTGGGGTCCCCAGAGGTCCATCCTGGTGCTTAGGTGAGATTATATTGAGATTTGGAGTGAGTGCCATCAGCATTCTGATAACACAGCTCTACCTTTCTTTCTCTATGACTCAGCTTCCACCATCAGAGTCCTTTTGCAGTGCGTGGTTGGGGGTTGGATACAGGTGAACGAATTGCAGTTGAATCCAGACAAGACCAAGGTAATGGTGATGGGCAGACCAGGTGATTTAGGTGTCCCAGTCCACCTGTCACTGATGGAGTTCAGCCCCCTTGTCACTCAGGTTTTCAGCCTTGGTGCTCCTGGATCCTCTGCTGCAACTGAATCTTCAGGTGTCAGTAGTGGATACAACTGCTTTTCTGTCTCCATCTAGTGAGAAGGTTGTGTAACCCTTTCTTTCAAGTTCAGATCCATGCTTTGAGGTTACAATGTGCTTATATGTATAACTGCCCTTGAACACTGTCCAGAAGCAGCATCTGGTGCAAAACACAGCATCCCATCTTCTGATGGGTGGATTGTGGGAGTGCTCCAGGGTCTACGTTGGCTCCCAATAGTATTTTGGGTGCAACTCAAGGCACTGATCTTGACCTATAAGGCCCTAAATGGTCTGGGCCATGCATATCTAAGGAACCACCTTCTCCCTTACACCTCTGCATTGCTCTTGGCCAAGGTTAGCCAAAAGCAATCTCCTTGGCATATTAAGGGCAGTAGAAGACTTTAGCAGTCTAATCAGTAGGAGGCGTCACTACAAACTTCTGATGCTTGATGCTACATATGGAGAGAGGGTTCCAATTGAAATGGTGCTCCCAGCATTCCATACTGTAAACTTATTTCCTCATTCTAAAAGTGGGGGAGCATAGATGTCCAATTTAGACATTTGTCATCCCAACAAAGTCACCAGTCATGTCAGGTTTTGGGTGGGAGCTCTCTTGTCGCTAATTCTTTTGCTAGATCCCACTACCCAGTTTGAAACTCTTCTGAAGATGCACATTTTTACACAGTAGTCCATTTAACTTGTAGGAAACCTCTGACTTCACAATCAGTGGTGTTCATTGAATCGGAGTACCATCTTCCTGGTCATCCAGAGTTCCAGGGCTGTTTAGCAAACACCTTTTATGATTATACTCCTACCTTTTGAGTCAGTGACATGCTCAACAAGTCGTCATACATTTGCATAGTCGTTAATCTTTTGTCCATTTGATCAAGATCAGTCATCAAAATATTGCTCTCATCCCTGTTCAGTTGAGTGTTTGAAAGGGTTAGGGTGGACTTTATTTTGGCAAAAGTGGACCTTCATCAGGAGAAATTTTGCACATACATAGACTCATAGACTAGCAGGATTGGAAGGGACTTCAGATGGTCATTTTGTCCAACGCCTGCTTGAGACAGGATTGACTCCACAATAGCCCAGTTAAGTATTGGTGTAACCTCTCAAAAATGTCCAAAAATAGCAATGCTGCAGCGTCATGGGTTTCCTGTTCCAATGCTTAACTACCCTCAAAATAAGAAAATTTATCCTAATACCCAAACTAAATTTCTTAAGCTGTAACTTAAGACCATTGCTCCTTGTCCTGTCCCCTTTAGCTACAGAGAATAGTAGCTCCATCTTCTGTATAACCACCCTTCAGGCATTTGAAAACTGCTGTCAAATTCTCTTCTATCCCTACCCTACATGTTTTCTCTTGAAGTTCTTTCAGTCTTCATAAGTTGTTTCACAGGCCACTGATTATTGTTGCTGTCTGATAGATTCTTTCTACTTTGTCCACACCTTTCTTGAAGTGAGGGGCCCAAAACTGGATTTAGTACTCCAAGTGAGACCTCACCAGTGCTGAATAGGGTGAGAATCACTTCTTCCCTTGATTTGCAAGTGAGATTCCTATTATACTACCCATACTATTGGCCTTTTTTGTATACACTGGTTCATATTCAACTTATGGTCCACTGTAACCTTCGGGTCTTTTTCTGTAGTCATGCAGCCTAGGCAGTCCTTCTCCAATCTGGAATTAAGCATGCAATTGTTCCATCTCAAGTGTAGGATTTGGTCCTTGTTGAATTTCATTTGATTGAAATATAGAGCATTTCTCCAGTTTATAAAGGTCAATCTAGATCCTGGCCCTTCCTTCATTGTCTACTGCTGCATCCAACTTGGTGTCTGCAGTTTTGCTAAACGTCCTGTCCTCCAAATTGTTAATGAAAATGTTAAACAATATTGGGACCAGGACAGATTCCGTGGGAACCCTGATGGATACCTCCTCCCAATTAGATCTTGAATCGCTGATGGCTGCTTGCTGAGCATGATGGATGATCCAACCAGCTTCTGCATCAACCTTACAGTACATTCATCTAGTCTGTTTCTTTATCTTATTAATAAGAATGTCAAAAGTTTTGCTAAAGTCAAGGTATACTGCATCCACTAGGCCCACCTGTCCAAAGAGCCTTCACCTTGTCACAGAAGGAAATCAAGTTAGTCATGACTTGTTGGTGACTCCGTGCTGGCTGTTCCTGATTACCTTGTTCTTCAGGTGCTTGGAATAGCTTCCTTGATGACCTGCTCCATATTCTTTCTTGGTATTAAGGCCAGACTGACTGGTTGCATCGTTTCAAAACTTGCTTCCAGCAGGAATGTGGGTGAAAGTTTGCTGGAATTTACTCTCAGTTCTGTTTGCAAGATCATGCCTCGAGGCTGGTTCAGATAGGTTTATTATTAGGCTTGGCAGGGTTTGATTTTGGTAAAAGTTGATGAATGTCAATTTCCTGTCACAGACCGATGGAAAAATATTTTCATCGTTAATAATCAGAATTTATAGAAAAGAAACATAAGAAAAATTGATGACTTATGGAGAGTCATGCTGGCTGTAGTTTTGACTGGTACTCCCAGAAGCCCCAAGGGACTGGGAACAAAAGGAAGAGGAAGTGACAAATCACATGTGGGAGCTATGGGCGAGCAGAGCCAGGACTGATGGTAGTTCTGTCACTCAGCTGGTGGCAGTCCTACAGTAGTTGTCATTAATA